CGCACCATGTGGAGATTTCTAGTTTTCGGGAGGCGAGGCGTATGACTCTTTGCTGGAGAATGAGACTTGGGAGTTGTGTGAGCTGCCTCCTGGGAAGAAGGCAATCTCTTCGAAGCTGATTTTCAGGCACAAGTACGGACCTGATGGGGAGCTGACCCGCTTCAAGTCAAGGCTTGTGGCTAAGGGGTTTCAGCAGACAAAGGGGAAGGATTTTGACAAGATCTTTGCTCCTGTGGGGAAAGGGACAACACTGAAAGTGTCATTGGCAATGGCTGCAAACCGTGGATGGCGGGTGAAGCAGATGGACATTACCACCGCCTTCCTCAATGGAGTCATTCTAGAGGAGCTGTACATGTTACAGCCTGAGGGGTTGGATGATGGGAGCGGCAGGGTGTGCAGGCTGAAGAAGGCCATCTATGGCTTGAAGCAGGCTCCTCGTGCATGGTACCACAAGCTGGAGGAGACACTGCTGGCTGGGGGGTTCAAGAAGAGTGAGTGTGATCACAGCTTGTTCCTGCTGCAAGAGAAAGAGCAGTTTCTCATGCTCCTGGTGTATGTGGACGACATCCTGCTCTTCTCTGAGTCGTCTGCAATGATTGAGCGTGTGGAGGAGATGCTGGAGATGCAGTTTAAGTGCTCCAAGATGGGAGATGTGAAGTATTACCTTGGGATGCATGTGGAGAGAGACCTTGACAAGGGAGTGTTGAGGTTGCACCAGAGAAAGTATTGTGAGGGGCTGGCTGAGAAGTATGGGCTGCAAGATGGAGGAAAGCCAGCCACCCCACTGCCTTCGGGGTTCACCGTGGAGCCCTGTGCTGATGAGGAGGTGGTGGGTGAGAGTGACAGGAAGCTGTTTCATTCCATGGTGGGGGCACTCAACTATGCGGCTAACCATACGCGGCCTGACATTGCCTTTGCTACATCTAGGCTTGCGAGTGTGGTTTCACGCCCCAGTCATGAGCAGTTGGAAGCGGCCAAGAGGTTGGTCCGCTATGTGAGCGCTACAGCGTCTGTGGGTCTGGAGTACAGTGCTATGCGACAGAGGCTGCAGAGGGGTGCAGCTGATTTGGCCAAGGGGGAGATGCTCCTAACCTGCTACACCGACGCCAGCTTCAACTCTGTGAAGGCGGATGGCACCAGTATTGGAGGCTATGTGTGCCTGTTTGGAGGTGGTGCAGTGAGCTGGCGCAGCAAGAAGCAGAACGAGGTGGGGCAGTCCTCGTGTGAGACAGAGTATATGGCCCTGCATCATGGGGCAAAGGAGGTGGTGTGGCTGAGGCGTTTGTTGGAGGAGATCGGAGTGTGCCAGAGGGAGCCTACTGTGATATTCTGTGACAATGAATCTGCAGTGAAGTTAGCCAAGAACGCTTGTCTTCATGGGCTGACCAAACACATCAGGCCAAAGTGGCATTGGGTGAGGAGGCTCCTGGACAAGGAGGTGCGACTGGAGATTGTGAAGATCCATCAGCAGGCGGCTGACATTCTCACCAAGCGCCTGGCTGAATCTGAGCATTGGAAGGGCATGAAGCTTGCTGGGATGAGTGTGCATTGAGGATGCATGCTTGAGCTATGGCGTGTGGGATGATGGTTGGCAGCCAGAGGGGGAGTTTGTTGTGTGATGCTATCATTCGCATTCACGTCTGTCTGCCTCCCATCACATATTCGTGCGTTGCATGCGTGGTGTGAGCGTGTGCAAGAATTTGTGTTTTGTGCGGTTTGGATTTTCTGAGTGTGTGTGAATGTTATTTGACTTGAGCAGATATCTGAAGTGACTGCTCTACTCGAGAGCTTTCCGACGAACCAAGAATCGTCGCAATCGGAGCAAGATCAAGAAAGTTACGAACGTTGGAGTTCGTATGCTTTCTATACTTTGGTTGCGGCGACTATGGGAAGTTGTGGGGTTGACTCAATGTGGGGTACAGACTTTTGGGGGTTGGGAAATTCGTAACTCCTACTGTAGATGCTGCCATGTGGTTGGGTGAAGCCAAACCAGGTTGGCAAGTGTGGCCAAGTGGGGTGAGGTGGATTGTGGAGGTTGGGAAAATGACAAGGGTGAAAGTTGGGTTGCCTATTGAGAGGGAAATTGTGTGGCATGGGGTTTCCTTGGTTGGAAACTCTCTTGGGACCTTCCCTCTCGTCCTCCTCATCCCCTCCCACCTGGTTAATTGCTACTCTAACTCTCTTGTGTAGTAATCTTGAGAATTGTGAGAACTTTGTGTTTGAGTTAAGATTCCTTTGGCAGCATACCCCCTAGTGCGCCGAAAAGCATAACTCCAGATTTACTTCACCTGTTGATACGATTCAACTTGGGACTTGTAGCTACGTTCTAGAGCTACAACATATCTGAAATTCGTGAAGTTTTGACGGTGCGTTTTTTGTCGACGGCGTTTCTTGTGAACTCGACGTTTCTGTCCAGAAACTAGGCCCAACGATTTTGAGATATTTCGGCTCCTAATCTTCATAGACTCCGTCCTTAGTCTATAACATAGTTTGAACTCCTGGGTCGTGCTGTTTGCTTCGAGGTGGATTCCCTTCGCCATCAACTGACTGACGCTTAGTAAGTTGTATCCGAGGCCTTCTGCGATTAAGACCTTGGACATTTGTAGTACGACGTTTGTCTCCCGTGACTGAAGCTGTACGATTCCTTGTCGTCGTGTGCGCAGGTTCTGATTATTAGCGACGGTGATGACGACTTCCCGTTGAAGCTGGTATTCTTGCTGCACGAAACGTCCTGAAGAACACATGTGCTGTCCGCAACAACTGTCCAAGAACCACGTGTCTGTTCCTGATGGCTCGCTCTGGGCGATGGCGGCGTACGTTGGATTTGGTTGAAGTGCTTCGCGGCAAGGTGTGGTGTTGTCGAGGTGTTCTTCTGGTGAGTAGTCGGGCGGTGACTCGGTGATGCAAGATTCGCTCAGTCTTGCCATGCAGCTAATGATGTTTCTTGCTCCTTGTGGAGGTTGTCCCGGTGAAGTCGTTGAAGCTTGAATCTGAGTCGTCGGTTTCGCCTGTGCTGAAGCGACTTGATTGCTTGAAGGTCGAAGGTGTCGCTGTGGAGCCGTCGATTGACGATTCGGGCAGTGCGTGCGCGGGTGTCTTGAAGTCTTGCAGATGTGACAGAAGGGAGGTACTGGCTTTGGTTGCTGCTGTCGGTTGTTGTAGTTGTTGTGTCGTCGTTGAGTGTGAAAAGCGAACTCTGACGTTGTTGCTTTCTTCCTGTGTCGTTCTTCTTGCAGGTCCATGTCCTGCTGCTCAGCGTGTATTTCGGCGCAGAGTGCTGCTTCAGAGATTCTTCCGTGGGCTCGAAGGATAGCTTTGGTGGCGCGCCACTGAGGACCGAGGCCACCGATGATGACTGTCACGAAGGCGTCTTCAGAGATTGACCCTCCGCATCGAAGAAGCTTGTCGCGCAGTTCGCGACATCGGCTGATATACGCCATTCCCTTTTCTCCTGGTTTCATTTCAACTGTTGTCAGCTGTGCCATTAACCTGCTTTGGTTTACACTGTCTGTTGCTTGGTACAGGTTCTTCAGATGGCTGTACGCGAGTTCCGCCGAGTTGCCGAAGGCCCGATAAGAGCGAATGTTCTGCTGCTGAGTTGGTGTCACGTTCCTCAGTAGGATCGTATACGCCATCATCGATTGATACGTATACTGCTGCTTTTCATACTGTGTGCCGTTTGCTGGGTACTGCAGGGACCCGTCGAAGAAGCCAAGTATTTGCGCGCCCTCCATCATCAGCTCAAATTCAAAGGACCAGGTGAAGAAGTCCTTTCCGTCGAAGGGTCTTGATGTTTGTAGTTTTAAGACATGGGCAAACTGCGACTGTACTTGTAACGCGTCTACTGGTTTGTCTTGCGTAGGTAGAGGTTGTGGCAGGAAGCTGATTGACCCGCGCTCGTACGGGGCGAAGGTGGGTTGCTGCTGTTGATTTCCCCGCGCATATGACGACCCGTCAAGGCTCATGGGCGTCGCTCCGTTGTTGCTGTTGTGTGTTTGTGCAGGTCCTGACTGCTGGTGCTGCTTGTAGAAGGACATGAAGGAGAAAAACTTCTCCATCATGCTCTGGTCAAAGTCCGAAGGGTGGTTCGTGGGGGTCTCAGTTGACGTTCCCCTTGGTCTTGCTGCCGTGCCCTCCTCTGTCTGCAGGCCAGAGGCTGGAGGTGGAGTAGGAGTAGTGCTCGGGGAGCCATTAGAGGAGCTCCTTTCCTTGTTTGTTGCCATGTCTTGTAATGACCTTGAAAAGATAGAGTTTCCCCTGTGAGCTCTGATACCATGTTGGGCTGAGATACCCCCTTAGGATCTTTGCGGAGGATAACTTTGGGTAGGAACTTTGTAATAGCGGAAGCGTTCAATGAAGAACTTGTGAACCGACCTTGCACTAGTGTGTGAGAGCAAAGTAGATTGATTATAGTAAAGATATACAAGCTTATATAATAATACAGGGAATATGAAAGGGTACAGTTATAACTACTTTTACTGTTGCTGTTGCGGTTCGATACAGTGCGACTCGGGCAACTGCTCTGTAACGAGTCAGTTGTGTGTCCTTAACGGTCGCGCTGTACTTGTCAGGTCAAAGGTCAGCGACCTTTGACTTTCGCGTAACCTCCAACAACTGTTTCAACCTCCGAGGGTTGACTCGCAGGTGCTTCGGTGTAGTTTGCCTCGCTTCTGGTGCAATGTTTCGACACTGCAGAAGCGCTTTAGTTTCACTGTTTCCAACAGTCTGTCCCCGTTACACCCTAGTCATCACAACCACACCCCCGCCAGCAGAACCAGCACATCGAAAATCTGGAGGCGGCTACGGAGGGGTGCGTGCATGTGCGTGTGCAGAACTGGCTAGGGGAAAATTAGTGGTGCGTGGCGAAATGGTTTTGAGGCGCCTCAAGAATCGTGGCAGGGCGGTACTTCACACAAGCCATCATGCAGCAACAGCTCTTGCTCTCAATGCCAACATACAGCACACACGCGTACTTTCAGAATTACTTATGACGCAGTATTATGCGCTCGCCTCCTCATTCCTCCCCCTCCCTCCCCATCCCACCTCACCTCTTTGCTCCCATATCCCACCCCCACCAGGAGGACGGTTTCCGGCCTGGGCTGGTGGGAGGGCTGCTGGTGCGCGAGCGAGTGCTGGCGATAGTGGCAGGGCGGTACTTCACACTCGCCATCTCGCAGCACGGCCGCCTCTTCACCTGGGGCATCCCCCTAGCATCCAGCCCCCACCCGCCCGCCATGTTCACGTCAACCACGCGGCGCCAGCCCGGCGGCAGGGGCAGGCACCGTGGGCTGTTGACTCTCAACTCGGCCTTCCACACGTCCGTCCCCTCGGGCGCCTCGTCATCCGCCGCCTTTCCTTCCGCCTTTCCTCCTAGCCTTCTCCGCGGGTCCCTCCTACGTGTCGCTCTGGCGGAAGCGCAGGGGTGGGGGGGAATACTTCCGCGGACGAGTTCGCGCTGGCGATGCGCGTGGGGGGCATGCTGCGGCGCGTGGGGGTGTCGACGGTGGCTGCGAGCGGGCACACCCTGGCAGTGACTCCGGGGGGCGTGGTGCTGTTGTGGGGACGCGACTGGGACGCGCGCAGGCGCCCCGCGGGGCTGCTGGGGCGCGCGGACGGCGCGTTTTGGCGGCCTGCACCGGTGGAGGGGCTGACGGGGGAGGGGCAGGTGGTGGCGGTGGCGACTGGGCAGTATCACTCCGTTGCTGTGATGGAGAGTGGTAGGGTGTTCACATGGGGGCTCAACAACAGGGGCCAGCTGGGCCGGCCAATCAAGAGCAAGGTGCGACGGGCTGTGGGGAGAAGGGGAGGTGTGGAAGGGAGGCGGGGTGGGAGAGGACAGGGGTGGGAGGGAGAGAGAGGAGGCTGAGGAGGGTGGGAGGTGGTGGGAGAGGGAGGCGAGCGGGAGTGTGTGGGAACGGGTTCATGCAGGGTTGTGAGGAGTTGTCTGGCTCAAAGTGGCCAACCATTGAAGCGCATGTTGGTTGTGCATCCCTCGTCACTGTTCCAACCCTTTTTTACTCCTCTCAACCCTACCCTAAATACCCAACGGCTTTCTACCCTCTTCGAACGGTCCTTTGTATTAATTCGGTGATTGGTACAAGCAGTACGGTCAACGGAGAGCAGAAGGCTGAACATGCAAATATACCTCTTTACATCCACCCGCCCCCTAGCACCTCCCCTTACTCCAGGGTGTGGAGGAGGTCCCCTAGCTGCAGGGGCCAGGGGTCCGCCGGAGCCTGCGGGTGTGCCGCTTCAATGCCCGCTCGCGCCTTTGCGTGTAAGGCGTTCGCTTGGCTGCGCTGGAGCATGACTGCCCAGCGCTGCCGGAAGTGGGCTGCCACCTTCTTCGCCGTCTTGGCCAGGGGGTTGGCGCGGAAACGGTTCCGGGCCACTGCGGTCGAGAGCAGCTTGAGGAAGGCCGCGGTGGACGGGGCTTGGGCTCCATAGGTCTCCACTGCCAGGGCGAAAAAGCCCACGTGCTCAGTGTGGCGGTAGTACTCGCTGTCCTTGCGCCGAGCGGCCTCCCGTGCTGCCCATCCTGGTGGTTTTCGGGCTGTAGGGTCCCTATTCAGAAGCACGGGGTCAGTGATGGTAACATCGGTGATCCAGGTTTCACCCGATTCCAGATCCCGGACGATGACGTCCGCCTTCTTGGGGTCATCGGGCGGTGAGTACATGGCATTTTCCAAATACACCACCAACTGCGCCTCCCGAGCCATTTTGGCGAGTGCAAACGCCAGTTGGTTGTGGGTGCGGATCCTGTCTGGTCCTTCGCTGCAGCGGAGAAGGTGGTTACGGAGGCACCAGTCAGGAACGAGTTCTCCACAGGAGCATACAGTCGGCACGTTCATCCTGAGGCCCAGGCGGAATGCCAGGGCCGTCCCAAATTGTCCTAGTGAGAAAGTGAGGTCCGGTGTGAAGGGGATCGCTTGCAGCCACTCCCCTGCCCCCTCCCCCCTCAGGCTGATGAGTCGCAGGGCGTGGCCCAGCTCCGGGGAAGATTCAACCGTGCGGAAGTCCGCCAGGAGCGCATCCGCCCTGCTTGCTTGGACCTCGTCCGATAAAACGCTCTGGAGGTGATTGTAGCTGCGGCTGGAGCGTTCCTCCATCAGGATAGCACGGGCTTTCTCCGGCAGTCGGGCCTCGAGGTCAAAGATGGTGTTCGGAGGCGATGTGGTTGGGAGCAGCAGGTCGGCAGCATGGGCAAGCTGGTTCGTTTGAGGCAGGTTGAGAGACAGCAGGAGATGGCGAATCTCTGTCGTTGAGGCCAGGTAGGCTGGGCCGGATTCGGAGGTGGGGTCAGTGAGGCCAAGTCCCCCGAGGCTCACGGGCAGAGAGGCCTGCCTGCAGAGGAGGTCGAGCTCGGAGGAGCGTCGTGGGGGGTACTGTCTAGCCGATGCCAGGGCAGTAAACAGCAGTTGCTTGCCCACTGCGCCCATTCCGGTAGCGGTAGAGAGTCTACAGGTGTCGTGCGTAGCAGGAAGGTGATGCGTTTGCTGACGCAGCGGGAGAGGAGCATGAGGGCATGCTGTGGATGAAGGCGCGTGAGGGGTCGGAGCGGGGAGGTGGAGTCCAGAAGCGTGGCCCTGATCTTGTCGGCACAGAAGGGGCGTGTGCCGATGGGGCTCCCAACCACCACTATGCTGCCGTCTGTTAGGGTCAGGGCTGGTGGCAGGGAGACGCTAGCTGGCGGTTCGGGGGACCAGGCGCCTGATTTGTCCAAGTTGCATTGAAGGCCACTTCGGCCGAGACACTCGGTAAGGTCGATGAAGGCCGTCGAAGCCACCGCGGGTGGGCCCAAGAGCGTGACATCATCCGCGTAGGCCAGCAATGTCAGGCTGGGGAACGCCGCGGCTGTGTCGCGGAGATGGCCCTGAATGGCAGCCGCGAAGAGTAGGGGGCCCAGGGGGTCCCCTTGGCGGACCCCTCTGCTGCTGATCAGAGGCGGTGAAGCAAATTCTGTGCCGAGGAGCAGCTTCGTCGGTGTTGCATACAGCGAACGAGTGAGTGGAATAAGCGGGGCGAGGGGGGTATCTCTTAAGGCGTTGAAGAAAGACTCGCGCTCGATGGTGTTAAACACATTTTCCACGTCGAGCTGGATGACTAGGTCCTTCGAGTGGGCTGCTGCTTGGCAACAGACGGCGTGGATAACGGCCTCTAAGCCGCCTAGCACCGCTACGGCGAACTGGGTGGGGAGGAAGAACCCGTTTGTAATGCCCAAGGCTTTTATAATGGCGGTTAAAAGGCTTTTGTAATATTCCAATACAAAATAGTAGCCTTAACTAGCCTCAACAGCCTTGGAAATGTGGATCTTCTTGATGCCTTTAATGAAAAAGCACTAGGAGTAATAGTGTAGGGAAGCTTGTGAGAGAGCCCAAAGGACTTAGCCAAATAATCCCATTTCCAATTGTTTAGTTGGAGTGGGAGGTTGAGAATGAGCTTGCTTAGCTCAGATCCCCTCAATACACCCCTTGGGGAACCATCCCAACCATGGTTTCCATGGTGGGATGGCTCCTAGGCTTGGAGCCTATGTGGCAATTGTGTTGGGTTGGAAAACCCAACTTAGAACCATTCAATGGTTGTGTTTAGGATAGAGTAGATTGTAACAATTGTTTGGCAGTTTCTGATTGGTTGGAATTCCAACCTTTGTGATTTCACTTTGATGGGTTGGAGTTTCCCAATCCTCTTGGTTGAGGTTTGGAAACCCAAACCAACCCTTCCATCCCAACCAAAGCCAACCTTCTTCTCCAAGTCCCTCGTTGTCGAGAAAACTCTCGACATTTGCCTAGAGGGAAGTTGGTTAGTTAGCTTAGTTAGGGCAATGCGTTACACTCCTCCCCCCCTAGGTGGCAACGTCCCCGTTGCCTTAGGGTGCTTCTGAGGGTGAGTGCTTCGAGCACGGCGCACCACATTACGACCAGGGTCAACCCCATCTACTAGTTGTGGGCCTACTCGTAGAGCCAGGTCTTCCATATACGCTTGAACCGCTGCTTCGGTCAAGTGTTCCTCAGGCTCCCATGAGTTGTGTTCCGGCCCATAGCCTTTCCACTGAATTAGGAACTCACGTACTGTTTTGCGGCCGCATTGTCGATCACGGTGCGTTAGCACACGCTCGACTTCATAAAAGAGTTCCTTCTCGAGAGCGATGGTTGGTGGCGGTAAGTAATTGCCTTCTGCAACGTACTTATTCAACAGAGAGACGTGAAAGACGTTGTGAATCTGCAATGTCGCAGGCAATTTGAGCCTATAAGCGACCTCACCAACACGCGCAATCACCTCGAAGGGCCCAATCCAACGAGGGAAAAGCTTTCGTGCTCCCAGGATCCTGAGACGAATGTTCTTCGTACTCACTAATACTTTGCCGCCAACTGCAAAAATGACTTCTCGGCGTTTCATGTCGGCATAGGACTTTTGCCTCTGTTGGGCAAGCTGCAGCCAATGGCGAGCGGACTTCAATGCCGCTTGCTGTTTTCCAATAAAGTCCTTTGTGGCAGGGATTTTGAGGTTCTTAATCCCATGCGTCGTAGGGGTTGTGAGGTGCCGACCAAAGTTCAAGACAAAGGGTTTCTCATGAGTGCTTTCATGCACAGAATTGTTCACAGCGAATTCCACGACTGGCAACAATTCATCCCAATTGTCCTGAGTTGGGCTTATGAAAGAACGAAGCATTTGCTCAAGAGTGCGATTGGTCCGCTTTGTCTGTCCATCCGTTTGTGGGTGGAAAGCAGACGACATCTTGAGTTTCGTTCCGAGTGTCTTAAAGCCCGCGGCCCAAATTGCGGGCCGCGCGGGTCAACCTTTTAAAACTTGACGAACTTGTGTTTGCAAGCTTTGAAAAAAACGAGCCTGCAATTTGGGACTTTGGGAGCTGAACCAACCCCCAGGGCGAAATACAAGGGGGGCTGGGTTTGGCGAAAAAAACGAAAGAAACAAATTCGGTTTGTTTTCGCCAAAACCCCGACCACAAAACCCCCTCGCGTCAACCTTTTAAAGGTTGTGCAATTTGGGCTGCCGGCTTTAATGACCTCTTGCCAGAACCGGCTTGTGAAGCGCGGGTCTCGGTCAGACACCATCACACGAGGCAAACCGTGTAAGCGGAAAACGTGCGCCACAAACAACTTTGCCGTATCCTCTGCAGACACGTCAGTCGTCGTGGGCACGAAGTGTACCATTTTGGTCAAGCGATCTAAAAACACTAGTATCGCCGTATGACCATCTCGCGTCTTGGGGAGATCGGTGATAAAATCTATCGATACACTCTCCCAAGGTTCATCGGGAATCTCAAGTGGTTGAAGCAAACCACCAGGCTTTTGTGTGCTCGGCTTGTTCCGTGCACACGTGTCACAGCGAGTTACAAACTGTTGGACCTCAATACCCAATCCCGGCCACCAGTATACATCACTGAGGGCCCACCGGGTTTTCTTGACACCCAGGTGTCCTCAATACTTAGTGACGTGCACCTCTGCGAGAATATCGTTCTGCAGGTTTCCCACATGTGGGACAACAATTTCTTTCTTGTGCCACCAGAGCTCATGCTCCCACAAGAGATCCTTTGTATTCTGTAGGTTCCATAACCAAGGGTCAATATCATACCCTGCGCGGATGCGTTTCAGAAAACCACCAAAGGTAATCTCGCTTACTCGAGCAGCTGCGAGGATGTTGAAACAAGCAGCAAACACAGCTTCATGTTCACTATCATCAATACCCATTGCTGCCCCAATCGGCTGTCTGCTCAGAGGATCAGCCATGTTCGTCGAGCCCGCTCGATATCGAGTATCGTAGGTGAACCCACTCAGGAGTTCAGCCCATCGAGCTTGACGGCGGGTGAGTGTGGCTTGAGTGGCAAAATAGGTGTTCGGACAGAGG